TTCTAAAACACATGTCTGGTTTTCTTGTGATAGCTCATTATTCGCGATATCCTCGTTTCGGTTGTTTCGTCTTCGCTCGTGTTCCCGATTTACGAGCCGTCGTCGGAACCGATGAAGAAACGCAATCAAAGCACCGTCAGCATTACCGTGGTTGCTTGGCAAGGATTTCAGATCGGCAAGCTGTAAAACTTAACGATCCTACCGTACCGATGCTATGGAGTTACGACGTGCTTCACCGAGATATTTGTTTAACACATTCGAGGCCAACGACGCACCGTGTGCGTTCTATGCTGTGGGCTCATTCGTAAACGTGCGGCAATAATTCAACGTGGTGAATCTGCATACTGAAACCAAAGTATCTGGTTCGTACGATATGCTTGTGTTATGGTTTTTGAGTTATGGGGGAAGGTACACTTTTGTTCAGAAGTTTATTCGGTTTTGGAGGAAAATGTAAATATGGGTTAGTTCAGGTATTACTAACACTTACGGAAGGTATCCTTGCTATTCTCTAGTATTAACTTTGGAACTTTTTAGTTGAGTTTACTGAATTTATTTGAGATTACTATTTCTTTGTTGTTAATTGATTCTATTGGCGGCATCACGTTTACTATGGGGGCTCTCCGCGCCCTACACCCCTACTAGCCACCTTTCAACAGTTATGACAATTTTTCTGTGAGTTTTGGTCCATTTTGTGAAAGTTTGATTCTCTGATAAAATGTCGTGTCTGACACAGTTTGGCCTGTAAATTTGTATACGTGAGTGAAGGTTGGGGTCTTAGAATATTTTGATACTCCATATGAATAACCCTATGGATTTGGTGAAGAAATATTTATTTTAGATTGTTGCACTGAACTGAACCCTCCTTTTGAGTGCAAAGAACATTAACACTCTACATCATCATACATTAAAAATAATTTAACCCTATTTTGGATATTGCTTCAGCATGACAGTAACACGCTACAACACTGTTTTGTCATAACTTATGTAATTCTATTGTATAGTGACTGTTATTAATGAGTTTCTAGTATGGAACTATGATTCACGAAGTAATTATATTTAGAAATGTAATCCCCCATATTTGCTATTGTTACCTTGTAATTTATGAATTAATTTTAATTATTCCAGTGTCTTAAGACATTTTACTAATAATCATTCCTTTTCACAAAAATATGTTGAACAAGCGTTTGTTAGCATATTGACGCTAGATCATAAATTATAGTAGAGTTCCATAACAAAATGACTGACATGTTAAACGACAGTGACTGTCCATTTTGTTCTAGTAAATGATGATCCAGAAAAAATTACGTTTACAAATGTAGATTACCGCTTTATTTATTCTTTACGTTATCTTGAAACATGCAATTTTACTCGTTTCAGTGTCTTAACAGATTTTTACTTCAAAGACTTTTTCTTCAAAAATCTTGAACTCTTCAAAAGAATTTCTCAAAAGATTGATGTGTTCATTTCTTTTCACAAAGTCTGTTGAACCTGTTAGCACACATTGCTGACAAAAGATTGTTCTATTATCAGTTATGTAATGTCCATAATAAAATGGCGACTGTCATTCCTGAATAAATTCAGTTGTGGTCTCCAAAGGTTGACGTTCTCTTAAAAAAACTTTGAAATGTACTTTGTATTCGTCGATTAAATTCTTTTTCTCTACCTGTACCGAAGGTTGACGTCACATTATCGCATACGATTACGTCTACATATCAGCTATGCAAAATGGTGCGAACAAAGGTCAAGAGCGGTTCAAGGATCAAATCACTAAGTTCTCGCGTTCGTAACTTCTAACGATATAAAATCTATTACTTTCTTCGTGAATTGATTTTTGGTCGAATTTTGTGGATACTTTTTTAAGAACATTTCTGTATATTATCAGCTGAAGATATGAAGGTTTGAAGATATGGAGATTTGAGGATGTGATATGAATCTTCGAATTTAAGTCGATATGCGATTTGGAGAAGATATTTAAAATTTAGTGTCTTATACTTAGTACTGTATTATTGAAATTTAGATAATTTTTAATTTATTTGAAATATGTATATTTAGGTTTTCATTTGAGAAACCAGAGCTTATTCAAGGTTTCATATCCACCTTAAGGTAACATAAGGTTTTCACCTGAAAATATTGATTTTGCAATTTTTATGACTGAAAATTTGAAGGTTTAAAATTTTTATGACTGAAAATTTCAAGGGTCAAAATTTTTATCACTGAAAACTTCAAGGTTCAAAATTTTTATGCCTGACAATTTCAAGAGTCAAAATTTTTATGACTGAAAATTTCAAGAGTCAAAATTTTTATAAATGAAAATTTCAAGGGTCAAAATTTTTATCACTGAAAATTTCAAGGTTCAAAATTTTTATGACTGAAAATTTCAAGGTTCAAAACTTTTATGAATAAAAATTCCAAGGTTAAAAATTTTTATAAATAAAAAATCCAATGTACAAAATTTTTATAAATGAAAAAACCAAAATAAAAAATTCTTATAAATGAAGAATCCAAAGTACAAAATTTGTATGACTGAAAAGTACAAATTTTGTTATACTATTTTTCCTCATATCTCAATTGAGATCATCTATACCACCAACTAAACTGTTCTAAGAACCCTCCCTAATATTCATCTTCAAACAAACGAGAAAATTAACGAGAGTCAATATTCAAACACTCGTCCAATCACGTTATTTTGCAGTACCGTCATTTTTTTACGATTGCAAATATTTGTTTCCTGTTCAATAATCTCTGTGCTTAAATTCTTGTTTACCATGACATCATCCGCTGCATCAACGAGTATTCGTGTGGTTGCGAAACGGCTGATAACGGATAAGAATGATTTTATTTGTAAATAGAGTAGCACCCCGCAACTCCAAAAAGATTATTAAATCAATTTCTCCAACATATAACGATAATTTTCGTGTTTGGTATCATCGTCCTACTTCACACTCTCCATTATAATTAGAGGCGAGATAAGCTCGTTCTGCGACCCCTGCTTCAATTTGTTAGAAGGTTATACAACTCTTTCAGAAGACTTTGACTTCGGTATCTGTTTTTTTTTTTTAATCAATTAAGACTTTGCTGCCCATTCAGCGATAAATGAATTAATGTACGATTATTAATTTTATCAATTTTTATGATGTTCTGTAATCGCTTTTTAGGTGTTAGAAAAGATTGTCACACGAGGTTTCAACATTTTATGTAAAGTGATGGTGAAATGTGGATACTTTGTAAAATCAGATCTCCAAAATTATTTCTTTCTATTTAATCAAGATTTTTATACATTAGTTTAATACGCAGTTAGAACATTTCAGAAATATATTTTCTGACAAAATTTAAAAACAGTTTCAGCATTCTTTGCATGCACCGTGACAAAAATAACGAACGCACGTTAAAAATAAACGTTCTCTTCGAATTTCTGATATAGGGCGAGCAATAATACCAGGTCGTACTCATGCCAATCTGGCTCTAAATTGTAATTTCGTGTTAAAAATAATCGATGGTACGTGATTTTTCTAATTCAGAAGTATATTTAGAATTTCTGGTTCGAAATACCAAAATATTTAAGAAGTTTCGTAATCCGTTGACTTAGGATTACAATAATCCTACGAGGACCTCAGGCTCTAATTCTCAAACACTGTTAAAACCGCAGTATTTATTTACAAGCTTCTGGAAGTTTGCAGAAATTTCAAGAATTAAAGTAACGTGAAACTCGTCGGTGCAATGACTTCAAAATTTGTAAGATAATAGGCATTGCTTGTTTGTTCAGGTCTGTTTACTCCGATATGATCCACAAACAGAACGGTTTTGAGGATTTGTTACGATTTCCAATTAATACATGCAACATGGTTACGGTTTTCTTTTTCATTTTGCAGAATTATTAGCTTAAATTAGTGCTGACACAGATAATTAGTTGTCGATTTTTTTTATTTTTTGATCACTTTAATGAAACTCTCTTTTAGACTCCTTAGACTCTGTTTAACTATTTAATGACTTTCATACCAATTTACTTTGTACAATACATTATTAATTGCACAGCAATTTTACACAGTTCATTCATCGAATTCTTCAGTTTTTCAAGTGTTCTTTAAAATACTGTCAGTCCAAAAAATTAATTAAATATTACACAGCAAATTTAATAAGTATCGTGCTATCTCATTTATCATTTCAAACCTCTATAAAATTGTTCTGTTAGTATTAGCATATTCTATGATTAAAAATAAGGAAAAAAGTGTTGCATAAATATTAGACCGTAAAAAATTTATTCTAAGGCTGTAAAAACTAGGCTTAAAACTATTTTTGCTCAATCATATTTAAATTATCCGACCTGTACATGGAGTCGTTGATCAATCGCATTTATTACCTTCCGAATTTCACCCTAATCGTCAAAGAAATACGCAATCGGACAAGAAAGCAGTCACTTATAATTTTGATATTTTTCTTATAACTTTGTAAAGCATTTTACAAACCTAATGCACGCGACCTCTAATAAATTGTCCATGTGATGACTGCCATAAATAATTGCTGCAACCAAAAATGTCTGAACCAATCTCATCAACCACTCAATCAATTCTCAACCAGTCTCAACCAATCATCCAACCAATATTTTAATTTTCCTACAACACACATTTTCTTTTTAATTAAACATGCTGATTCACCGACATGTCGCGATAAAAAGAAACACTCCGTACGTGCAGCGAAGGGTTAAGCTAACTCCGAGATAAAACTCGGTCATGCGCGCAAAAAATGGCAAGATTTGGCTCGCCAAATCTCGCTCGTTAAATCCAGAAATGAGATCAGCCATCTATAATTAAATTCGGTGTTCAGCTCGTTTCCTGACCGATCGAATTCTTTGATCGATCACGATTATCGAACTCGATCATACACGACGCACCTCGTGCGTCACGCAGTTCATCAACGCATCGTGGGATGCTGCCAACTATAGCGAACTCTGTCCATCGTTTGCCCACCACCACCAGGATATTTCTAGTCGGCTCTCGTGCGACTTAGTACGCTCGATCGTGTGTACGGGCACGTATGCTCGTCCCGTAGCCCCGTTTCGTTCGCGGTTTTAACGAATGTGAGCGAACATGAGCGACAAGAGGAGGATTCCGCCGAGGAAACGGCATATTGAGTTGTCGACCAGATCCCGGGATTCCAGGGAGATTGGAGAGCCCAGGGAGTCGGTTAGGCAACCTAGGGAGACCAGGACCAGGGAACCTAGGGATGTTAGGGATACGAGGGAGTCCAGGGAGTCTAAGGAGTTTGTCAGAGAGTCGAGGGAGCCTAAGGACTTTGTGAGAGAGTCCAGAGAGCCCAAAGAGTTTGCAAACGTGAGAGAATCCAGGGAACCTTTTGGAAATATGAGGGAGTCCAAGGAGACCATCAGGGAAGCTAGGCAACTCAGGGAGAGTCCAGAATTCACCAAAGAACCCAGGGAACCCACCAGGCCTCCCAGGACCAGGGCATCGAATGGAACCGTCGAACGAAACGTGAATCGTGGTGCGCTGAAAATGTAACGAGCTTAACCCGTTCGCGATTGTGCAAATCTGAGCTAACGTGTTTTCATGTAACTAATATCTGGGAAATATATTTCTGTGTGTTATGGCGGATAAGTATTTAATACGCAGCAGTCGAGGATGAAAGATTGTGTAATTGAAACGAGGTTTAATCTTTAATTGTAATATGGTATTCAGGGTGGATTCTGCTGTATTTGTGCGATAATTGAAATGTGAAGTATTGGTGATCGGGCACACGCAATATTGCGTGAGCGTTTGAGGATTTACGTAGGTTGGAACGTTCTGGGTACATTTGGGGAGTCTTGATAGGTCTCTTATTTTCGAAAATGATTTTAAATGAAGTTTTAAAATAAACTTATTTCGTCATGTGGGTAAACGCGATTTGTGATTAATGGTCGGTTTTGAAATAGATCGCGACGTAAATGCGGAAATATATAAGGAAATAAGTTTTGAAATACCTATAACGTAAAGTTATGTATATATAAATTTCGCATCTGCAGATACGTCGTCATGAATCTTGACGTATGGTCATTTTTCGATGAACCGATTATTTTGATATTATTATTACGTTCGAGAATTTTTATTAGTGTTATTTATCGTTTGACGTGTAAGAACGTTCCTTATGAAATCGGTAACTAGCTCAAGTGCAAATTCATGTGTGACCCACATATGGCGATCAACGTGTTAATTGGGTTCTGAAAAATAAGTGACAATGAACGCTCAGGTTTTAGAAGATGCTTTTATCGTCGGCAGTCAGATATTTCATCGTATCAGATGACTGATTGTGTTTGAATATTAGTGGAGTTTAAATTGAGCGAATAATAGTTGAAGTGAATTAAATTGAATTGAAACGTGTCAAATTGAATTGTGTGGAATTGAATCGGGTTGAGTTACATCAGACTGAAATATGTTGGATGATGTCGAAATAGTTCAAATCTGGTTCTAACAAATTGAGACGTGCTGATTTGAACCGGGTCGCGTTATATTTCGTCGAATTGAAATTCGCTGAATGAAATCGTGTTGAATTGAAATTTAGTCACATCGAATTGAATCGCATCAAATTGAAGCACATAAAATTCAATTCCTCTATACTGACATAGATCGAATGGATCGAAATAAATTTCGAGTGGAATTGAAATTTGTTATACTTAACGGCGTTGAATTGAAAGTCGTCAAATTGAATTTTCTGAAATTGAATTTTTAGTTCGAAGTTTTAAGTTCGAGTTAAATTAAATCGCTTAAAGTTGCAATGCATAAAATTGAGTTGTGTTCATAAAATTGAGACTTGAATTGCAATGAATTGAAACTAATTGAATTGCACTGAATTCAACCACATAAAAATTGAAACTCATCAAATTGAATTGTCACAAAGTGAAATACATGAAATTAAATTGCTGAATTGAACTGAATTGAATCTCAAGAAAATTTGAATTAGTGGAATTGAAACGTGTTGGCTAGAATTGCATTGAATTGAAAAACATTAAATTGAATCTTGAATACCTGAATTACACATAGTTCAGTCGTGTCAAATTGAAATGCTTCGAATTGAATTGCACTGAATTGAATTATATAGGAATTGAAACGTGTTGACTTGAATTATATCGAGTTGAACAAACTTGAATTTTAAGTTGTATAGGAATTGAAACTCGGCAAAGTGAAACGTGTTGACTTGAATTGCATCGAATTGAAAAGAATCGAATTTAATTGCATAGGAATTGAAACCCATCAAATTGAAAAATATTGAATTGAATTGCATCGAATTTTATTTAAATTGAAACGTGTTGACTTGAATTGTATCGAATTGAAAAGAATTAAATTTAGTTGCATAGTCCCGTCAAATTGAATCGTGTTGGCATCAATTGCATCGAATTGAAAAATATTGAATTGAATCGCATCGTATTGAAAAATACTGAAATGAAGTGCTTCGAATTGAAAAATATTGAATTGAATCTCATAGAAATTGAAACTTGTTGACTTAAAATACACCGAATTGAAAAGAATTGAATTGAATTACGTTTACTTGAATCGCATGGAATTGAAAAAACATAGAATTGAATCGTATCTAATTGAATTTTACAGAATTTAATCGCGTTGAATTGAACCCCATCGAATTGAATCCTATCTAATTGAACCACGTAGAATTAAATCACGTTTATTTGAATTGCACAGAATTGAACTCCGTCAAATTGAAATACTTGAAACTAAATTAAAAATTGAAACCCATATTATTGAATTACCTTAACCTACCTCATAATTTATCAAAAATACTTGAATTTCATAATTGAATGCTTCAATTTACCACCCTACATACTACTCAAATTAAAAACTATTTCTCAAAATCAATTACATGATCATACGAACTTTATACTGTTATTCAATCAATCATAAAATCGGAATTCATAAATTTGTTCAGAACGGAAATGAAATTATCCGTTGACAGTAACGCGAGACGATCGATGGTATTACGAATCGATGATGGTTTTACTCGAAACGAAATTGGCGTATACATAATTCGAATCTCTAGAACGCAATAAATTTGTGATAATTGTAGGTCTGAAACTACAACCACGACACGGGATATTCGATTAAATATGGATCGAACCGGTACTGAACTTCGAACCAGCAACGAGAACTTCAAAATGCAATTACGCGACGAAATAAGCTCTCGGCTGTAAGAGCGAACAGGATTTAGATTCTATCGAATGTGAAGGTTCGCCTGTGAGATTGGCTTGTTTCCAGAAACACGAGAACCCAGCGGATTCGCGAAAATGAAACCGGCTGTCGTAGCGTGTACACTTCAAGATACAATTGTGACGCTCTAGCATGAGAATCGTGTAAAGTTTACGTCACGATAGTGAAATTGATTCATTAGCAGAGACCTCGCGCCGTCCCGTGCTATAAATTCAATTATCAGCAGCGCAATAAGAAACGGAAAAGAGGATTTAGCTTTTGAATAGCGAGCATTAATGTTACCGACTGAAATTGATACTTGCAATGGAATTTTCGATTGAAGTACTCGTATTGTCTCAATAATTGGAAATGAGGACTTTATCGGTCGTATTATATATGTTCATACAAAGCAAAATGAAAATTTCCAGAATGAAATTTTTCATTCCATTTATATTACGGTAATTCATAGGGGATTGAAAGATTATTGAATAGATTCAATACAAATTTTTAGTGGTTTTCGTACGATATTAATTGCAGGTTTTGTGTGTAAAAATTTCTTTTTAGAGAAATTTGAGAGTTGTTCAATAGTTATAGAATTGAATAGTTATTGTTAATTAGTTAGGATCAATTTTGGTTGAATAATCGATGCAGTTCATCATGATTGTAACTTCCATTTTTTTTGTCTAACATGACTAACAAATTTTGTTCAAATTTTCTTTCTCAAGTGTTAAAATTCTTAGGGCTGGTTTGATTTCTTGTAATCAAGTTTAATTATTGTTAATTAAATTATTTGTTAATTTTTCAAATTTGTAGATTTTCATGCTTATAGACAGAACTTGAAAATTGTATTGGAGAATTTAACATTTTAAACCTTGCAAAATTTGAGAATTTAAGAATTCCTGTGAAGTTTGCAAATTGAAAAATTTCTAATTTGTTATGTTTGTAAAATTTAAAAAATTCTAATTTGAGAAGTTTGTAAATTTAAAAATTTCTGATCTGAAAAATTTGCAAATTGAAGAATTTGTAATTTGAAAAATTTGCAAATTAAAAAATTTCTAATTTGAAAAGTTTGCAAATTGAAAAATTTGTAATTTGCAAAATTTACAAATTAAAAAACTTCTAATTTGAAAAATTTCTACTTTACAAAATTTGCAAATTAAAAAATTTCTAATTTGAAAAGCTTGCAATTTGAAAAATTTCTAATTTGCAAAATTTAAAAGTTAAAAAATTTCTAATTTAAAGAGCTTGTAAATTCAAAAATTTCTAATTTAGAAAGCTTGCAAATTGAAAAATTTCTAATTTGAAAAGCTTGCAAATTCCAAAATTTCTAACTTGAAAAGCTTGCAAATTCCAAAATTTCTAATTTGCAAAATTTGCAAATTCAAAAATTTCTAACTTGAAAAGCTTGCAATTTGAAAAATTTCTAATTTGTAAAATTTGCAAATTTAAAAATTTCTAATTTGAAAAGCTTGCAATTTGAAAAATTTCTAATTTGCAAAATTTACAAATTTAAAAATTTCTAATTTAAAAAGCTTGCAAACTAGAAAATTTCTAATTTGAAAAATTTACAAATTAAAAAATTTCCGATTTGAAATGCTTGCAAATTGAAAAATTTCTACTTTGCAAAATTTATAAATAAAAAAATTTCTAATTTGAAAAGTTTGCAAATTGAAAAATCTCTAATTCAGAAAGCTTACAAATTGAAAAATTTCTAATTTAAAAAGCTTGTAAATTGAAAAATGTCTAATTTCTTCAAACTTTCTTAAAAAATTAAAATAAATAAAATATGTCAATATGAGTAAAATATATTTTCAAAAATGTGATTTTAGCCGAAAAAGTACCGATGACGACCCTCGATGAGAACGTGAACCGTGTCCCACGGCTGTACACAAACGAATCAGCGGGTAAGTTTTAATATTTCCTCGAAATTCATATTACTTATTCATTCTCCTGAACTCTTAACATTGACATTACTACAAAATGATCACATACATAATACATAATAATTACAAACGTCAACTTATGGCAAATTTTCCGTCTCGTTCATTATTTCCAAGAAAATAGTCCATGCGCCTCTACGTATCGTTTTCTTCAGCATCATCATGAAAATGCTTATATGCACGCAAAAATAATGTGATTAAAAACACGCAAGAAGGAAATCATATACTAACAAGGCTCACCTATCGTGATCGCGACAATCTGCAGTTTTTTTATTAATTTACGTCTGTAGATTTGCTTTTTCATAGTTCCTTTATTCATTTCTGCGACCATTGATTACGTTTAAGATGCAAGTCTGTGATTTCTTTTTGTGAAGTTCTATAATTATCGTTTGTACAATATTAACATAGTAGATAGTCATTTCTGCATATGATTTATTTATACAGTGATTGTTATCAATCGTGTTTAAACATAAAGCATGTTTACATTAGATTAAAAGTGAACGGTGAGGTTTTAATGCAAATTTTTAGAGTATAGGTATATTAAAATTTCAGAATATTAACTTTGTATTAAAATTTCATATTGAAATTTCAGATTTTCAAATGTAGAGGCTATGTTGTTTTATTTGATTGCTTAAAAAATTTTGTTATTCAAAAATTTAGGAATTTAATCATTTGTAATTTCAGAGATTGTAAAATTCATAAAAACAAAGATTTATGAACTTATGATTTTTTAAAATATAGAAATTTTTTTAATTCTTAAAATATAGTGATATAAGAATTTAATAATATAACGAAACTTCCAAATACACTGCGTATGTCACACACGAGTATTACAGACCAACGTGAAATCTTGTTTACCGCCATTAATCTTTCGAGCCGCGAGAATTTCTGCCTTTCAAACGGGACAGAGGATTTAAAAAGAAAAATTCATGGACGCTCTCTAGTCATTAAACGAATGGCTGCAATTTTCTCTTCGTGCCTATTTTCTTCATTTCGTTTCGCTCACAATTAATCTGACATCTCGACGTCCTCATGAATATTTCGATTTTCATGCTACTATCGTTTGTAACTGCAAAATTTCATAAAACTTTCTACATACCGATGTCAACCCACGAGTTGGCGCGTGAGGCGGACCCAGGTGTTCAGAGCTGCGGCTCCGATTGATCAGAATAGAAAAATGGACAGAGGTGTTCAGAAGAGCTACTGCAATTGGTCAGAATAGAAAAATGAACGCCTCACACGTATTTTCGGCGGTATTGGTTCTCGCGGTCGCCAACCAGGCGAAAAACAATGACAGGCAAACGTCTCGAGAGTGAGATAGTGCTACTTGCGTTCAGTAGTTGTTATTGTAATTATTATTCTTATTTGCCGAAATGTAACTGGAAGTGTTCACGGCGGGCTTCTTTTACTTTGGGTCGACGCCGACTCGTGTTTGTATCTGTACTTTCAAGTGGATTTTTAATTCTTGTGCTTAATATTAATTTTGTTTCAATTTATATAAATCGAAGTTTAATCGAGTAAAGTGAACGGGAAACCGAAATGTAACTGGAAGTGTTCACGGTGCTTCTACTTGCGCCAACTCGTGGGTTGCCATCTGTAACTGCTTCGATGAAATAATCTGTAAAGTTTGAATTTTTATTCGGTAGGTTGCCAGGTTATTTAACTTCCTGATTTCGTTAAAAAATTAAACTTATGTTTACGCATTGGCAAGTATGAAAAGCACGTGGCCGTTTTGCGTGAACACGAGCTCGCGCTTATGTTTATTCATTGCAATTATTCGAACGCGATAAAAACGGTTGGAAATTGTGTCGTGAGAGATGTTCACGTGCTGAACCGTTTAACGATGTTCACACGGTGCACAGGTAATCACATACCATGAAAACTATGCTCGAAAACGAAAGTAAGGGGTCCCTTGAGACCCTCGTAGCAACAGCTGTTCGACGATTAATATACTGTGATGTTAAGTTATGGAAGACTTGATCAGATGTGTTACGATTTTTTGGTATTTTTGGTTTGGTGTGGACTAGTTATGGGAAAGGCGGTTTAGAAATTAAGAAATTTAGGGGTTTAGAAATTTTCAAATTTGGGAATTGGGAATTTGGAAGGTTGGAGTTTGAGAATTTGGAGATTTTGAAATTTTGAAATTTGGTGATTTGGGAATTTGGGGAGTTAGTGATTTGGGGAATTTAGAGAATTTGTGGAATTTAGGGAATTTGAGGAATTTGAGGAATTTGAGGAATTTGAGGAATTCGAGGAATTCGAGGAATTTGGGGGATTTGGGAAATTAGGAATTTAGGAATTTGGAAATTTGGTAATTTAGGACCTTGAAAATCTAGGAATTTTATAATTTTAAAATGTAGGAATTTAGAAATTTTGGAATTTTGGAATTTGAGAATTTTAGAATTCGAGAATTTGGGAATTTTGAAATTTGAGAATTTTAGAGTTTGAGAATTTGAGAATTTAGAAATTTTGATATTTGAGTATTTAGGAATTTGAGAATTTACAAATTTACAAATTTGAAAATTTAGAAATATATAATTCACCCATATAACCTATCTTGGTTCCTCTCAATATATTGCCAATTTCAAAAATTTTCCCTTCTACAAAAAATAATAACAAATGTCCACTGACACAGTGGCTTTATAACGAGTATCTGCTATAAAATGACTGAATGCAATATCTGCAAGTATCATTGTTATCAGTTAATGGATGACGTAAAGAATGTGCAAATATAATTAACCTCTTCACGCCGGTACTTGTACTCGATATGTTTCGACGTCAATGATACATTTACTGTAACGAAATTGATGATTTATTTGATGAAGTTGAAAAAGAAAACATGCTTCATATCACTCCGTGTTTTCCATTGTGTCGATAATTTTTTATCGCATTTTCTATTAATACTCTTCTATGTATTTGCTTGATCAACTTTTTGTATGAACAGGGTATAGTCATTGAAGAATTATTGTCTTTCTTTTTTATTTAATATTTACCATAAATATAAATATTTGTATGAATGTGTAGTTAATTTTTTTAAATATATGTTCAATGTGTTTAATTAATCTTCAAATGTGTATTTAATATCAATTTTTCAAGTATGTGTTTAAAATTATTTTTTTTTCTTTTCATATATGTATATGTTTATTACATTTAATCAATTTTTTAAATATATGTTTAATGTATTTAATTAATTCTTCAAATATGTATTTAATATGAATTAATTTTCCAAATATATATTTAAAAAATTTGTATTAATTTTTCATACATAATGTTTAATACGTTCAATTAATTTTTCAAAGACATATTTAATATATTTCAAAAATTTTACAAATTTGAATTTCTAATTTGTTATTTAATTTTTTTATTATATTGAAATGTACAGAACGACTGTAATTTACTCAGTTACCTTGTTAATGATTTTATTTCTTGACACCGTTATTAAACTCTTTATTTGCTGGATAAAATAAATGAAGTACTTCGATCGTGAAGTGTGTGTACGTGATAATTGCTACTGAATGATAAGAGATAATAATCGACAATCAGTGCGATGATCGATATTTTTATTTCTATACGTCCTTGACTTTTTTTCCTTTTGGTTATTTTATACCGTTATGGCAATTAAATTGGAGAGCTGAAAGCTACGAGTGCCAAAACTGAATTTCTCGTGAAAACAATCAATTATTGAAAAAATTATTTATTTATTGAAAAAAATATATATCAATTCGTTTCTTCTTTTATTATATTTTTAATGTGACAGAAATTGTTAATTAAATAGCAAAAATAATAAATTTAGATGTTTCGTATTTTATAACATTTCAGCTAATAGTAAAATTTATTTCAAACATCAAACCTTTATTTTATGTACTGCGCTAATATTATAAAAACTTCACACTCTAACTTTTGGAAATCATTTTAACTTGAAACAAAAATATCTTCATGCGAATGAAGGAAATTAATTTCATCAATATTTAATAAAATTTAAAACGTCATGTTTAGTGTCATCGACAGAATTATTTAAAAATATTTAATGTCATCGACAGAATAATTTAACAATATTTAAAACGTCATATTCAATGTCATAGCCAGAATTATTTAAAAATATTTAATGTCATCGTCAGAATTATTTAACAATATTTAACATCAACAGCATCACAGAAAATATATAAAATACTTTGACTGACCCGTCGAACTGCGTGCTTGAATAAATATATTTTTTCAATTGCGAACACTAACAGACTTGGGTTGGCGAAGGAGAATAGAACTCGTCTCGATGAAGGACGACATCACATCGGAAAACACATCGGAAACGAAATCGGAAAATATACCAGAATCAGGAAAACCTGTGGCAATTGTACTTGCCCATCCGGACCACACGTTCGAATTGAACGAAAATGCCCTGGCAGAAATTCTCCTTCAGAATGATATTAAGGACAGAAGCGTGGTTGTTGTATCGGTAGCAGGAGCCTTCAGAAAAGGAAAAAGCTTCCTGCTCGACTTTTTCCTTCGATACATGAATAACAAGGTATGTCGAATAAAATACTAAATAAATAGTTTATCGAACGAACAAATTTCTTCGCAATTTTTATTGCAAATTTCTGCGATTGTAAAAATTGCCCGAGTAAAATTGAACAAGAGTTTTCATTTGTTTGTAAACCTGAACTTCAAATTTTATATAATTCATATTACGTGCTTACAAATCAATTCATTTATTTTAACAAGTTCATCACTTATAAAATCGTTAGTTGCATTTTTTAAATGCAATACAAGTAATATAATACAGTAGTTATATTTTCTGCTTATAATGATATGCTTCGTCTTTGAATTATCCACTTTTTTGCACGATATATTACGTGACGGTTTGAGACGAGTTTCACTCGGTTGAAAGGCGCATATTATAAAATGAAAACTCATGGTCGTCGCGAGGGAACAAATAGATAAGGTGAAAACAATTGATCGCTATTTGCAATTTTAATGCTCAGAACATTTTTACAATTCTAAATTTTAAAAGTTACGTAAGTTTAAAAAATTACATAATAAGAAACCTCAGATGCGCCATTTTGACCATAAACCTGCTGCTGACCCCACGTCTTATGATTTGTTAAAGCGTAAGTGCGTTACGTGTGAGATTATAAGGCAAGGAGTTAAATGGTAGCGCTAACATTTCTTCCACATCCGAAAATTTGTCCACCCGAATTAACGCTGAATGTTTGTCAACAGTACGATAAGAACAACCACACCGACTCCTGGTTGGGCAACGACGACGAGCCCCTGAAGGGATTCTCATGGAAAGGTGGTTCCGAGCGAGACACGACAGGGATATTAATGTGGTCGAAGGTGTTTCGCGGTACTCTGCCAGACGGTGAAAGGGTAGCAGTGATCCTGATGGACACCCAAGGTGCTTTCGATAGCCAGTCAACGGTGAAAGATTGCGCGACCGTGTTTGCCTTAAGTACAATGTTGTCGTCCGTGCAGATTTATAATCTGTCGCAGAACATCCAAGAGGATGATCTTCAACACTTGCAACTGTTCACCGAGTACGGTAGACTCGCGTTAGAGACTTCCGGCCGTAAGCCGTTTCAGAAGCTGCAATTCTTAGTGAGAGACTGGAGTTATCCGTACGAGGCGAAATACGGTGCCGAGGGTGGTAATCAGATACTGCAGAGGCGATTGGAAATTTCTGATAGCCAACACCCGGAACTACGTAGTCTAAGAAAGCATATCAGATCTTGCTTCTCGGATATATCTTGCTTCCTGATGCCACATCCGGGACTGAACATTGCCACCAACCCTCACTTCGACGGTAGATTGTCGGAGATCCAGCCGGAATTTAAGCAACAGCTCAAAGTATTGATACCGATGCTGTTGGCGCCGGAGAATTTAGTCACGAAGAAAATCGACGGGCAGGTCGTTAAAGCCAAGGATCTTTTGGAGTACTTTAAAAGTTATATGAAGATCTATCGAGGAAACGAGCTCCCTGAACCGAAAAGCATGTTAGTGGTGAGTATTGTTTGGGTAGATTGCATATTATTAATTCTCATTCTTGATTTCCCAAATCCCTAAATTCCCTTATCCTCAGATCGTTAGATCCCCATATCTCTACATCTACAAATCCCACTCCCAAATTCCTAGATTCTCAGATCCCTAGATCTCCAATTTCCTAAGCTTCCTCCACCCTAAATTCCAGTATCTAAATCTCCAAATCCCAAGATTCCCAAAGTCTCCCGTGTCTTCGCATAGCCGTTCGGTCTCCAAATAGCCACGTCCAACTACCATTCTTCCTTTAAAAATCGTTTTCGTTTTCCAGGCGACAGCGGAGGCAAACAACTTAGCCGCAGTAACGGAAGCCAAGGAATTATATATGCGATCAATGGAAGATGTTTGCGGAGGAAAGAAACCATACGTGGCTACGGTGTATCTCGAAACGGAACATCAGCGTTGCGTTGACAAGGCCATTAACATGTTTCAGAATAAAAGAAAAATGGGCGGTGATGAGTTTAGCCAAATGTATATGCGCAGATTGAGGAAGGTGAGACGCGATTACGAATACTCACGGTACTCTTCACCGAGACGAGATGATAGACGGCTTTAATTGATTGTAGGATATGGAGACAGCTTTCGACCAATTTAAGTCTCAGAATGAAAGTAAAAATGTTTTCAAATCAGCACGATCTGCGGCGGTTTATTTCATTATTGTTATCGTTGCGTACCTTTCATCTGCGTTGTTTGCTTTCACGGGTTTATACACGATGGCGAATATATGCGGCTGCGTCGTTTGGATTTGTATAGTGACGCTTATTGTATGGGCATACATTAGGTAGGTACAAATTAATATCCTTTGTGACTGTTTCTTAATTTCTTTTTAACCATGAATCATTATGGTTGTAGATATAGCGGTAATTATGGACAAATGGGTGGTTTAATAGATGATGTGGCTAATATTATCTGGAATAACGTAAGTAGTATATATTTTATTATTATTTACATATGAAAATAGGTATTTGGATCCCTCGAGCGATTCACGCAATATTAGCCAATGGTCTAAAATGTTTACATAAGAATAACATTCCATATTTAACATTCACGACTTTAATGATAAATACTAACTGAATACAATCAGTAATCGATTTTATGTTTTTCTTTTTTCATTGTAAACCGCACAATTTTTAACATTTATATCACGTTGCTATATCACGCATATACAAGGGCACAAAAGGCAATTTTTTTTGATCGACATGTTTCTGAGGAATGTAATAAAGTATATTTATTAGGGCGTAATGAAATGTATGATATTTCTACGTATTTTTATACACAGGAAAATCGCGAGAGAAATTAGAATGTACAAATTTCTTGTGGCAAAGAAATTGAAAGGTTCTTTACCATTTCACAATTTAAGACTCGGTTCTTAATGTATGGACATAACAGTTCAGAGATTCGGTTCTTGGTACGTGATATTTGAATCTTAAGGATTTGATGTTTAGTTCAGCATCCGCACCCATGCACGAGTATACACATTAATAGTAATCATTTTTTCTCACTTCTGTAGTTCTGCACATATTTCTTATTCTGTACTTTTTAAAATGACATCCTACGTATTTTTATATCTCCTTCTTTTTTCTTCAACTAGTAACGTGTGTTCTACGGCGAGACCTTGAATTGCAAAATGGTAAAAAACTTGTTGGCTTCTTTCGTCACTCATAATTTATATCTTTCCAAACGTTTTATAGTTTGAACCTCCTGCGTATATTGTGAAGAAGATACCGTGAATTTTTTAATATACTTCCGCTTCATTATTTATACCTTAAGAATGATCAGAATTATTTGGATAGAAATCTTATGTAGTCAAGCCATTGCACGTGCTGAAAATGCAAGCGTTACCGTATCATAGCATTGTTTCCGTGTTATCTTCAAGTTGCAAATATAATTGGTGCTCATCATTGTGTCACCTCCTAATTTACACATACAATTTCTTTGTTCTGCAGGTGACGATGGCAGGGGATGCATTTATTGTACTTCTATTTGTTATAGCTATTGCTACATCAGTGTATTCGCAATATTCAGCATCTAATTACATTTCTTCTTCTTCACCACCTTCTCCCTTCCATCCTCTTGCTACTTGTAAACAAACATTCTACCGTTTTTTAGAAACCTTATATTCCCTGCAAAAGATTAGTTTTGATATATTTTCTAGCCTGTATAATTTGTTCAATTACTATAAATGATTTTACGCATAGCTCAATTCTTAACGCATATCTATTTTTTATTTTTTGTACGTTCGTTTTTCTATTGTTTAAGATTATCATTTTCGATTATATCAATTCGACCTTTATTTTTTGTTTTTATTGTAAGCTGAATATTAACTGGAGTAAATATGCAAGAGGTATGAGTTTACACATAGTTCAAATATATATAACTTGTAACTTTCATTTCTTACATATTTCAATATTCAAGACATTTTATTATGCATATTCAGAAAATTAGTACAATGATACGTATTTGTAATTGAACAGAGCAATTGCCATCCTCAGTCTTCATGCTGTTTCATATTTATGTTGTGTTAATTTATATACACCTATTTTTTTTTCTTACGATAATACTGAATGTTATAAAACTTTTGTTTTTTTCCTATTCAGTTCATGAAACCATTCTACCAACAATTTGCGGGTCAATCAATGTCCGTAGCGATGGCTGCTGCTGAAATGGCTACAAATTCGACACTTAATGCCACTGTCACTGCCAATGGCAAGCCTAAGATGACGTAATGTTCATTCCCTTCAGAACCGAATCTCCAGTGCATTAAAAACGTACGTTAATGTATTGCAACCAGTAAGTGGCATAACCAAAATTTCATTGTTTTGAACGTTTAATACGAGGCCATAACTTTTGTTAATAATGTTTGTTAAGTCACAAAAAAAAAGAGAGTGTGTTGGGTATAAAAATTAAAAACGACTGTGAATGTATATACAGTATATTTTGATTACAATTCCCTACTAGATTGTTGGACATCGTGGTTATTAGTATTGTCTATGATTATCATCATGCATTGTTAGACATATAAGATTTCACAATTACTGGTAAATAATACTGTAATGTGACGAAAACTATTGTTTTGGGGTTGTTACTGTTTATATCCATTTTAATTGTTTCTTTTATATTGAAACGTACAGGATGTACCAGTAATCATGGTATAACTGAAAAAACGTGTTGAATTTGTAGATTAAATTTTTTTCTGTAAAGGTTTGTTCTTGAGAAACTTGATTTTGGTGCATGTTCTTAGATATCTGCAACAAAACGTTTTTAGCAAAAAGGATCAGTTTGGACTACATATGTCTTCGTTACTTCAATAGTTGATGGATTCCATGAATCAACAAACCATAATTATTAATATTGTTAAAATATATGATTAGTATTTCATTTTTATCATTTTAATACCATGAAGATTACTGACTGACAATACATTTTAGCAGTATTAATGATTTATTTTGAAAATTTTCAAACTCAATTTTCTTAAAAACAAAACTGAATAAAAAAGAAATTGTGTTCTATATTTTCAGTTTATTTGCTCAAAAGGAAACAACTTCTTTGAGGTTCTACCAAGAGTACTAGAACATTCTGTCTACATATATCGAAAAAGAAAGGAAAACAAAACAACTTTCTAGTGACAGATACTTTTACATTTTTTAATATTATCAAATTCATATTTGACTTTTTACCTGAAAAATATACATAAGCGCATTTCAAAGTCACAAAAGACGTATTATATTTTGAAACAAAATTTGAAAACAATATATAGTTTGTATGTTTATGCGCCGTTCTGTGTATGAATTTACATTATTAAATTATATCTGTGCCAGATTTACTCTACATCTCGAATACAGTTACTATTATATTAATTCTCTTTTTTTAATAAACCAACATGTAAATATGACTCCGCGTTCTTCACGTTTAATAAATTCTGGTTAAAATTTATCATGTATGTAATTACAGTCAATTAAATACACACATATGCCATGTAGTTTATACGTTTATTAGAATCATCGTTATATAAGTAACTGCAGTTTAACATCTTATGAACTGTAAATTATATACTGTCAAAAGTGTAAGGAATAGCGAGCAAACTGATAATTTTGCCTTAGAAAGGTTAGAAAGAACAAAAATAAACATACGTTCAACACTTTATTTATAAACGCAGCTAGTAACGGTATAACAACGGTTCATAAGATGAATTTTGTTATTATCCTGGTATTAATAGTACTCAAATTTGCATATATGATAATTTGTTCTTTCGAGAAGTAATATTTTGAAAAGATCGTTACAAAGTATATTAATATTTAATTATCTTGCCAAATAGGAGTTAATTTTCATTGTATATGTGATCATAACTATTGGAAAAAATAATTTTTAATTTCAGTTAGTATTCATTTTTGAGTACATATTAGATGCCATTGTTTCTAAAATTGATTTATAATGTTTGTACTTAAATGTTTATTAAAAAAAGGTTACATAATTTACTTAATACAAATATTATGGGATAATGTGGTTTTATGGTGGTAGTTTAAGTAAAATATTATTTATCAATTATCTTTTTTGCTTGTTACTGATCACTTTTACTTTGATATAAAAAAAAATTTTAATTTTGTACCTTATTTAAGTATAGGAAATGACAAAAACAGGTCACATTTTATACATACTGCTTGCAGTGCAGTTTTATTTGATCATCCAATTAGGTTTACAACTTAGGTGCAGCTTGAGAAAATAATTTTTTATTTTTAAATTTATACTCTGTATAAAAGTATTTTTACTGCTGTCTACATTAATATAATAATTTCAATAAACAATAGAGCAGGAAAAAAAAACATGAACATAAAGATCTTTTCAAGACATTTTATTTTAGAACTTGAATGCAATTTGTAATATAATACAGTGTCAGTAAGAAATCAGAACCTATAATAAGTGATATAATGTAACTGTTTAGTACAGACGACATATATTTATCATTTACTTGTGTTGTTGCATGATCCAAGTACACTTTTATAACAATGATATTGTAATAATAAAAATGCGGATAAATGTAACCATAACACTTGTTGCATTTTGCAACGATTTTCTTCATTGTAATTTTTAAGTAATTTAAGCTAATGATAGTGTAAATTCTTGTGAATAAAAATAAATGCATATTTTTTTATTTACAAAGCGCAATGTGTTTTAATTTCACCATAGAAATGTAACATTACACATTAGGTTTTGAACATTCTTCTAACCATATCTTCAAACTTTTGATTTGCTTCTTGTAATTTTTTATTATAAATTAAAAACTGTTCTTTCAGTGTATGGTTATGTGGCTCTAAAGCAGTAGCAATTTTTAGGTCGTCAACAGCCTTTTCCAAGTCTTTTAAATTTCCATGAGCTACACCTCTTCTGTATAATGCTTTAACATTATTATTTTCTTTATCTAAAACTTTTGTACATAAAGAGATGGTATATTCATAATTCTTTCGATTTAATTGACATCCAGCCATATTATTATATAATACAAGTCTCAAATTATTAATATCACTCTCTAATTTTGAATCTAATTCTAAATCAGGTATCGGTTCTAATGTTATAAGAATTTTACAAGCTTTACTAAACCTACGAAATGCATCTACGTATCTACATTCTTGAAATAACTGAACACCCATTTGTTTATACTTTGAAGCTATAGAATATTTCTCTTCAGGTGTCCATTCCCAAATTGGTTTATGCAACTCCATTTTGATCAATGTTACTTGACATTTAATAGTTATGGGTTCATCAATGCCTTCCAATGATGGATGTATAGTAATTACACTTGTTTCAGAGACCATCATCATTTGAATTGCCCGCTCAATTTGATAATCTATTTCACAATTAGCTTCACCGATAATAAATGTTTTTGTATTTGTGCCATTTAAAATTTCAGAATTAAATTTTTCTTTCAAATCTTCTACAGACGTGTTAATAACGTTTACTGTCCCAATACCAATTTCACAGGTAGAACATTCTGTCGGTTTTCTGGAATAACAGCCAGGCTTTATTACATCTTTTCTCACAATCTTATCTACAGATTCCCAAGTTTGAAGTATCATATTGTATTTTTAACGAATTTTTCCTGTAGAAAATAACTTGAATTAACAAGTCAATAGGTTATGTTTTACTGCTGTCAAGCTACTCATTCGATATACAGTACACAAAATACATAGTGTTGCGTTAAGGATTAACATAAATGTATAAAATACTTTTTTGTGTGTATATAAATAATATTGTATGGCTTGGCACTTTCAAAACATTCTAAACCTTATTACTGTTGCTTCTCAAAACAATCTGATGCATATTATTGTCTGTATTATAAACTTAAAACGATAATCGGATCCACTCGAAATCGATACAACTAGTGCCGTCTATCGATAAGCGGAAGAATTAGTACAAGATATTAAAAGAATCAATGTATCATTGGATTAAACAAGTCATATTATACATCTTATTTATTTACAAAAATTTTCATATATTTACATTATACAGAATTCGGTTTAGTCCACCTAGTACTAACTTCCCACAACCATTTTGCAATATCATCATTCTTTGCTTCTTCAGAAACATCAGACATTTTGCAATTGCTGAAAGAAGAATAAGAATAAGCTAATCATTTGTTGCTTTTAATTAACTGTATTGATACTTACTCGAAATAAGCTCCAGTTACATCTTTTACAGATGGATCTAATGCCACGTGTAGAATTGGCTGTGCCCCCTTAACAGGTGTTTTAATAAATATCCATGTCAGTGCGTCTACAATAATCCTGCCCATAGTACTTTGATAGATTCCCATATGTCGCATTATTTCTGTTCTTACTATGCCAGGGTGTACAGCATTTACTGTAACACCAGTACCTAAATCACATAGAAAGAAAATAATAAAATAAGAATATTTTTTGTACTTATACAAAGGCCAATTCGACATTAATATTGTACCTTTTAATTTGTTAGCTAATTCTCTTGTGAACAAAATATTAGCTAATTTACTTTGTGCATATGCATCTCCAGGCTCATAGTTCTCCTCACTATTTAAATCTTTTAATTTAATATGACCACGTTTGTGTGCAGTACTTGTTACATTTATAATTTTTGATGGTGCAGACTCTTTTAAAACATCTAACAATAAATTTGTTAATAGAAAGTGTCCCATATGATTTACTCCAAGCTGCATTTCAATTCCTTCCTTGGTATAACTTTTAGGACATCTCATTACTCCTGCATTGTTTATAAGAATATGTAGATTGTTGAATTCTGTAATTATAATACATTGAACAAATTATTAAATTGTTCTATATAAAGTTCTTTGGCTTTGCAAAGTATAAAACAGAGGACAATGTTATTTACCTTTCTTGAATTGGTCTACAAAGTCTCTTATGCTTTGCTGAGAAGCTAAATCACATTTTCTACAATAAATATACTTATTCCTACTGTCTACTACTATTTCACGACGGGCCTAAATAGAAAAGAAAAATTAATTAAATTAAACTATGAAGTTACAAATTTTAATACATAAAATTATTTTATGCTTTATACATAATACAAATAATATTAATACTATTTCACATTTTTCCATGTCTCTGCAAGCCATTAAGACTTTTGCTCCACGTCTAGCCAAATCACGAACTACTTCTTTACCAATTCCAGTATTTGATCCAGTCACTATAACCACTTTATCATCTAGCTTTTCTTCTCCCGAATATTTTGTACCAGATAAATAGTCTCTGTACAATAAAATACATGATAAAACTTGTATCGCAGTAGCTTAGTTAAATGTTATATTTTAAGTTCATTTTTGCATTTGTAGAACAAAAAGACGAGTACATATCATATAAATTATATGATTAAAAAAAGGAAGGAATAATATTAATAAAATATAAATATATTACTTTAATAAATAACCTGATCCAACAATAGTAACTCCAGCTGAATAATAATAAATTGGTTTGGGGATTGACCAGCGCATCTTAATAAATATGATAAAACAACAAGAACATACAAATATTTTACAAGAATGTTAACAATATACTATTAGATTCTTTGTAATATCTGTTTATTTATCTTCGTCCGGCGAATAATTTCTATGCACAATACACGTGCGCACCTGTAAATATTAAGCCCATATTTACAAGTATTTTATTAAAGACTGAATACGTAATAGATTTAGTATAGATATTTTAAAATTAGTGGGGTATGAAAAGGTGATATATTAGATATTAAACATGACAATTATTTACGTATAATACATTTATGTCTTTTATTAGAATACTTGTAATAATGTGCAGTACTTGGGGACCACCTTAAAAATGTAAAGGTGATAGTATACCTAACCTATCATATAACATTAAATTGTTAATTATATATTATACTGGCTTTGTAAAACAACGTTCTTAGTACAAAGTAATTTGTCGTATTCAGAATATCGTTAAAGGAATTTTTATTCATTCATTTCTACGGTCTCTTAGTGTTTTATGTTAGGTTAGGCACATAACCAACTTCACATCTATAAGACTGTCATCAAACAGCTGTGCATACATAATTTGTTTACCTAAATAAAGTTCATTGAAATTTGGAGATATTTTCTAATTTCTGTAAAAATATTATCAATTAGTATGTTGTTGAGAAAAGTATTGGGTTTTGTAAGGAATGCAAAAATATTGCAAAGAACAATTACTCACAGAAATTTTTATTCATCTCAAAAGGTTTGCAACTGTATTTAAATTTAAATACTTTAATATTTTTACTAATTTTTCAGCTTTATGACGTTCCTAAATTCTTTATTTTAATCAGAAAAGTTTTACATCTACAATCTTTATTAATTACAATAAGAAGTGTATAAATATGTTAGGCATTATAAATTTCAATATGGTATACAATGGAATATACAATTAGTTTGTATTATTAGAGATATAATCAGAGTGCAGTAGTTACACAGTTATTTACACTGTCTCTTACTGGTTTCTGGAGTTTTACTAAAAAGAAAAGTGAAAATGAACCAGTTATAACTACTAAGGAAGTCGTAATAGGAAAGGCTGATGCACTATTCGATCAAGAAAAATATAAGGAAATATATAACCTTTTATCAAATTATAAAGTAAATATGCATTTAAATACATTTGAATGCAAATATCTATGAAACTTCAGACAGATAGAAGAAATGCTTGTAGGATAGTGGAGATGTTGAAATTATATGGCGTTTATGTAGAGCAATGTATAAAATGGCCAAAACAGCTAGTGAAGTTGAAGCAAAAAGAATTATTTATGAAGCTTATGATTTAATACTTAAAGCCCTCAGAGTAAATGAAAATCATTGGGCTGTGCATAAATGGACATCAATTCTTCTCAATACTAAATGCAGTTATGAAGGCACGAAAGCACAAATTAAGGAATCATATAACATTAAACATCATATGCTGGTACATATTGTGCTATATATATTTTGAAGTATGTTATTTAGTAGTTTACTGGGCAAATAAGAATTTTTAAAGTATGAATCTACTCATTTATTATAGAAAGCAATAGAACTTAATCCGCAGGATGCAACAGTTCTGTACATGTTAGGCACTTGGTGTTTTCAAGTAGCTGACTTGTCATGGTATCAAAGGAAAATTGCATCGATAATATTTGGAGAACCACCAACTTCTTCATATCAGGAAGCTTTACAATACTTTGAAAATGCAGAAAAAGTCGATCCTAATTTTTACAGCCACAACTTATTAATGCTGGCAAAAACATATTTAAAATTACAAAACACAGAACTGGCTACAAAATATTTGTTAATGACCATTGAATATCCTGCTAAAAATGATGATGATCTGATTGCTAAGCAAGAAGCACAGAAGTTGCTAAAGGATGTTTAATGTGATCTCAGTAAAGTTTCCATATGTCTCGCACAAATAACTGTATTATTTTCAAGTAAGAATGAAATATGTGTTGGTAAAAGATAATAGTTTAAGGTAATTTAGGGTTAGCAAATAAATGTAGCTATTATTGTTATAGGTATTGAGTTTTAATGAAGAAGAAAATATACCATACACTGTGATTTTTCACATATAGCTCTCTATAAATATATATATATATTTCTATGTGTTTTATAAACTTAACAGTATAATCATTCCGAAAGTAATATTGTATAAATCACTGATTTGTTAAGGATATAAAATAAGTATCTTTATTTTATATTCTTTATAACTTAAGACTGTCAACACAACGCGTGTTACTCACAACTTTTACACTTTATACTTTTATATACTTATATGCAATTTGTGAAATATACATTATATGCTTACATTTACAGAATAATGTTTAATACTTTTATTCTTTACACGCTTATTCACCGTACACATGTTTTGCACTATTTTTGTTAATAATTAATATAAATTTCTGTAATAGAACTTGCACGCCAAGTACGTTGTCAATTATAATATACAATTTCTAGTATAATGTTCTTTCATTAATATCTGTCATCACTATCATTAATCTATCGGTCAACTTCTTCTTCCATTTCATCTAAGTACGTCATGTCACTCGTGTCTTTCCTGCTGTGTGGTCGTCTCAATCGGTACTGTTCCTGCTGTCCTTGCAGTTGAGGTTGAAAATATCCACGTCCATTTATTGCTTGAACTCTCATCATGCGGTTCAGCAAAGCGTTTCGGTCCATGGCAAAGTGTGTCGTGTGTGTACCACACGGACAAAGACAATACACTAAAACGTGGTCAGGATGCAGCGGGAACATTGGTGGATATCGGGCATGTAATTCGCAGTATCCATAGGGGTAGCAGTTGTGTGTGACTGGAACCATTGTTCACTCTTAGCTGTAACAGACAAGGAGAATAAACATTAATTACTGATGTTAATGTAAAAGTTGGCGCTAGATTTTTAGGAGAAATTTCAGTTAATTGGTGTCATGATTTCTAATCATTATGTAGATGTGTGTAGATTTTTAAATGACAGATTTTTAATTTTAGACCTTTAGAAAATTTTAAACTGAGAAATTTAGAATTTTTAATTTGAGAAGTTTAGGCATTTAGAAATTTTAAATTACAAATTTAAAAATCTACAATTCTTAAATTAAGAAATATAGGCATTCAGAAATTTTTGAATAAAGTAATTTGGAAATTTACAAATTAACAAATTTTTAATTGTAAATTAAGAAACTTTTTGTCAAACAAAATGTTGAAATATTACAAATTTGTATAACACCCAATACACTTTAATAATAATTGAAAATTGTTCACAGAAAGTGATATTAATGAATAGTACTCACCACTTTGACAAAACGGAAGTCGCACAAGACGAAGAATTCAATACGTTCTGTTTCGTGTTTGCAGCGAAAATAATATCATACCAAATAGTTCTCCACCTTATATAGCCATGAGGTTTCTTATGTTATCCCCATTAATGTGTCCACCATTGTTCATATTTTCGTACGGCGTACTTTGGCCGGATACCTGAGCCTCGTCAAGTTTTTCATGGTTTTCCCATTACGCGCACTTTGAAGTACCTGAGTCATTTATTACCCTCGTTTGTCTATTTGTTTTGTGTGGTGTTATTGGGGTAAATAGGTGGTTTACGCGATGTTTGTCACGTACTTTGTCACTTGTTTTCTATGATTAAATAGCTAAATGAAATTGATAGAAACAGGGTTGAATTAGTTAAATTAAGATTGTGCTTTGGATTTAGGCTGGTAAGGGGTGCAAGAAAAGTTTTGTATTATTGTTTTTAACGTGTAGTTTTCAAGGTTCTAAAATTTCTAAGGAAATTTAAAAAATTATAAATTTTCAATCTTTTGAACTTAAATTCCAAAATTATATTTAGTTAAAATTTCAAAATTATAAAACCTCAGAAGTACCAAACTTGCAAGATTTAAAATCTCAATAATCTAAAATTCCAAAACGTCTTAAAGTTACAAATTGTTGAAGTCTAAATTTTCAAAATTCCAAATTTCTAGAATTTTAAAATATTAATGTCCCATGATATTTTAATTAGTCGATGATGTTTTTGAGGTCGACAAAGGTTTTAATTTGATCCTGAAGGTAAATAATATATAACCAATGTTTAAGAAACGTGCGTTTTCATTTATTAGTCGTCGAAGTAGATACACTGCTTACCGTTATAATTTACGCTCTTTAATAAATAATAACTTATGTATTGTTTCTACGAGACGAAAAGCCTGTATAACACTGGGCTATTAAAATGATAGGTTGTTGCATGTAAAATGACTGAAGATTATCATAGCAATTATTAAACCTCAATTTGTAGCTCAAAGTTCCAATAAAATAATTTAATACACAAATTTCTTATATCTTAATAATAAATACATTTGTAAAATTTTAATTAAAACATAAAGGTCTCTATATTAGCCACGGTGTTTAATTTTAAACACTTCATCGTTATAAGAAATATAAATTTTTCGCAATAAATTATATTAATATTATTTGTCAAAGAAGGTTTTATTAATCAGTCAATTTATTTGCAGCGACCTAAAATGATCGAGCGGTCTATACGTGTACATTGATAATAATATTCGTTAGTATTACAGGTATCTTATGTGCTATTTCAAGTACTTGCAATCGAGAGATAATTTATACAAGATTTTATATTAACAAAACGAATTAATCGTATATTATTATTAATCGCATTAATTACATCAACTGAAGTGTTACAAAAGATATAGGAGGTGATTTACAGGGATGATGAATCACATATTTGTAAGAATTGAAACATTCCCTGTTTATTTTTGAATTTAGAGAAATGAATCATAGAGAAGAAACAGTTCTCATTTTAGATAAGGTTTGAAGAGTGGTAGAAAGTGGGGGGCTGAACGAAAAAGAGACACGCATTGTAGATAATTGTAAATTTATATGAAAACTATTTTTTCGCTAGGTTATTGTAAATTAATGATACAAAAATATTGACGTAAGCACATAAATTCGTATCCCTCTTTCAATCAACCCCAGAGGGTCAGTTTCAATCCGGTCAAGTTTCAGTATAAATTAATTTCATATTCACTCGCCAAATCTCATATCGATTGACATAATTTTAAATTAATTTCATGTCAGTTTACGAACCTTTTCAATCTCCTACTGATTTATATAGTGTTAAATTAATTTCATATTGACTTGAAAATTTGAAATTAATCTCATATCCATTGACACAATTTTAAATTAATTTCATGTCAGTTTACAAAATTTTTAGTTGATCTCCTACTGATTTATATAGTTTTAAATTAATTTCATACAGGCTTGCAAAATTTTAAGACAATGTCCGATATCATTTTAAATCAATTTTCAACTAGCAATGTTTTAATTTAATCTCATATAGCTTGACATAATTTTAAATAAATTTCAGTTTCTATAATTTTAACTTCGTATTATAATCATGCAACTATTAATACTACAATATTTTTCCGAGTATTCAAAAGTAATAATTTAATATTTGTTCCCTCAAAATCACCCCTACTTGTACGGTCCCCAAAATCTTATTATCACATATTATCATAATGAACGTCGAGTTCACAGGCTAAAATGTCCGTACGATTATACGATATCATATTAAATATCAGAACTATACAAATCCTACGTACTTCGATTTAGGTCGCAGTTAAAGAATAGATTACGGTTACGAGATAACGGAATTAAATAATCGTTGGCTGATTCGTGGTGAAATTCTTTCTCGAGACGCGTTTGTCGATTTCGAGCAGCTCTCTTCGTGGTCAGTTGCATCTACTAAATATTTACATGATGCCGCCCGATTGCAAATACGCTCAAGCATTTATTTGCACGTGTACTCTTCGGTACGTTCGGTGCACGTCTCGCAATGCACGCGACAACACCAGTGAAATTTGCATCTGCACTGCCACGTTCTTGTAAATTGATGCGTGTTGTATCCACGACCGCAGCACATCAGGTCACATCCGTCGGTACCTGAAAAATTTGCAAATTCTTCAATTCTATGCAAATTATTTTCCTTACTCATATGACTACATATTCCAAATTACAATTTTTCATAAAAATTAAGGTGTTCCAAAACAAATTTTTTTTTGCCTTCACCCTCTAATAAATTAGTGCATACTGTAAGAGAGATACTCTCAAAATTTAAATTTAAGAGGTTGAAAATTTTTAAAGTTTAACAGCAAACAAAATATGTTAGATATGTTACGTATGTTACATATGTTACATATGTTATTGCATATGTTATATATGTTATATATGTTATATATGTTATATATGTTATATATGTTATATATGTTATATATGTTATATATGTTATATATGTTATATATGTTATATATGTTATATATGTTATATATGTTATATATGTTATATATGTTATATATGTTATATATGTTATATTATGTTATATGTTATATATGTTATATATGTTATATATGTTATATATGTTATATATGTTATATATGTTATATATGTTATATATGTTATATATGTTATATATGTTATATATGTTATATATGTTATATATGTTATATATGTTATATATGTTATATATGTTATATATGTTATATATGTTATATATGTTATATATGTTATATACGTTACATATGTTACATATGTTATTGTATACGTTACATATGTTACATATGCGACATATGTTATATACGTTACATATGTTACATATGCTATAACGTTACATATGTAGCATATGTAACATATGCAACGTTACATATGTTACATATGTTACATATGCTACATATGTTATATACATTACATATGTTACATATGCTATATATGTTATATATGTTACATATGCTATATATGTTATATATGTTATATATGTTACATATGCTACATATATAATTGTATACGTTACATATGTTACATATGTTATATACGTTACATATGTTACATATGTTACATATGTTATATACGTTACATATGTTACATATGTTACATGTGTTACAAAATAGTTCACAAAATAAAATTTCTTAGCCATTTAAAAAAATAAATTACAGGACAATTCTTACACCATATACTCAATTTTTAGGGGATGAAAAACAACAAGGTTTGTTTTGTCAAATTCTAATGAAAACTATTTGTATAAAAATCTACAATCTTGCATAAAAATCGATTAAATTACTGAACTGAAAATTTATTAAACATATCCACCATATCTAACAAGGGGTGGTTTATCCAAAATGGTAATTCCCGCAGGTAAACACATTCATACCGCAATAAGCTACTGCAAGGACATAAACGCCGAATCTTTGTTCGAACAATTAAAGTGGTGCGTTTAGGAGCTCCGTTTCTGAAGAAATCATTTCGGTTCCGCACAATGAGCATTTAGGTAATTGCTTCAGACACCGAGCTATTATACGACGCAAACAAAGCGGAATATTTTCGGGACGAGTATTAATTATGGTCGAACGGTCGTTCTATTGAATTTCTTTACCTTTGCTAGTACGATTGCAATATCTGCCCTGTGTTCCCAGACTGCCCTGTGCCAAATCCGGCTCGCAGTAATTAGGGGAAGGCTGTAGAAAAACCAGCTCGCTTCTCTTTGGAATCCTTTTCGGTCCCACGCCCGATCCGCCATTAGTTTTCGTTCTCTTCAGCACCAAATGCGGCCTTCTCGGTTTAATGGCTTTCTTTGGGGGTTGTCGATCGTGTCGGGATTTTGAGAGATCGTTCGGTTTTCCTTGGGTTTTCGCGTCGTTTCCCAAAATTGGTACCATCTCTGCTGATGTTGAATGCAGGGTGTCCAAACTCTGAGGGAGAATAACATTTTTTACGAGATGGAAATTTTTTTTTAATAATACATAATTAACGTGGGTATTGTTCAAGGATTTCAACTGATATTAAGCACCTTAATGTCATGAAACTTATTATTTATGATTGGTTAGGTTAGGTTTGACTGAAATTTGCTCTTTTTTAATAATGTAAAATTAACTTAGATATTATTCAAGGATAGCTAAGAAATAGTAAAGTAGTATAATAATAATTTTTAAAATAGTAAAAGCAGTGTGATAGTGAATTGTGAAAATGTTAAAATGGTGACATGGTAAAATAGTATGGTAACGCGATAAAATTGTAAAATGACAAAATGGTAAAATGATAAAATAAGATAATAGAATAGTAGCATAGTAGAATAAAAGAATAGTTGAGTAGTAAAAATAATTATAGTAGAGTACTAAATGACCATAATGGAAGAGTTGAATAGCAAAAATAGAAGCATAATTTATAGCTGAAAAATAGTAAAATTCTATAAGAATACAGTATTGAGTAATGAATATAGTATGATAATAGACAAGTAAAATGGTAAGATAATAGAGTAGCAGAATAGTAAAATAGCAAAGTAGTAGAATAGTAGGATAGTATAATGGTAAAATACTGGAATAGTAATATGGTAGAATGGTGCAATAGTGGAATATTAAAATAGTGCAGTATTAGAATAGCAGAAAAATTGTATGCTTGTATAGTGATATAACAGTACAATAATACATATAGTACTATAGTGGTATAGTAATGTAATAGTATAGTAGTATATCAGTATTATAGTATAGCATTATAGTAGACTAATAGGAAAGCAAAATATCAAAATATTGAAATAGTAAAATAGTAAAATAGTAAAATAGTAAAATAGTAAAATAGTAAAATAGTAAAATAGTAAAATAGTAAAATAGTAAAATAGTAAAATAGTAAAATAGTAAAATAGTAAAATAGTAAAATAGTAAAATAGTAAAATAGTAAAATAGTAAAATAGTAAAATAGTAAAATAGTAAAATAGTAAAATAGTAAAATAGTAAAATAGTAAAATAGTAAAATAGTAAAATAGTAAAATAGTAAAATAGTAAAATAGTAAAATAGTAAAATAGTAAAATAGTAAAATAGTAAAATAGTAAAATAGTAAAATAGTAAAATAGTAAAATAGTAAAATAGTAAAATAGTAAAATAGTAAAATAGTAAAATAGTAAAATAGTAAAATAGTAAAATAGTAAAATAGTAAAATAGTAAAATAGTAAAATAGTAAAATAGTAAAATAGTAAAATAGTAAAATAGTAAAATAGTAAAATAGTAAAATAGTAAAATAGTAAAATAGTAAAATAGTAAAATAGTAAAATAGTAAAATAGTAAAATAGTAAAATAGTAAAATAGTAAAATAGTAAAATAGTAAAATAGTAAAATAGTAAAATAGTAAAATAGTAAAATAGTAAAATAGTAAAATAGTAAAATAGTAAAATAGTAAAATAGTAAAATAGTAAAATAGTAAAATAGTAAAATAGTAAAATAGTAAAATAGTAAAATAGTAAAATAGTAAAATAGTAAAATAGTAAAATAGTAAAATAGTAAAATAGTAAAATAGTAAAATAGTAAAATAGTAAAATAGTAAAATAGTAAAATAGTAAAATAGTAAAATAGTAAAATAGTAAAATAGTAAAATAGTAAAATAGTAAAATAGTAAAATAGTAAAATAGTAAAATAGTAAAATAGTAAAATAGTAAAATAGTAAAATAGTAAAATAGTAAAATAGTAAAATAGTAAAATAGTAAAATAGTAAAATAGTAAAATAGTAAAATAGTAAAATAGTAAAATAGTAAAATAGTAAAATAGTAAAATAGTAAAATAGTAAAATAGTAAAATAGTAAAATAGTAAAATAGTAAAATAGTAAAATAGTAAAATAGTAAAATAGTAAAATAGTAAAATAGTAAAATAGTAAAATAGTAAAATAGTAAAATAGTAAAATAGTAAAATAGTAAAATAGTAAAATAGTAAAATAGTAAAATAGTAAAATAGTAAAATAGTAAAATAGTAAAATAGTAAAATAGTAAAATAGTAAAATAGTAAAATACTAAAATACTGAAATAGGAAAATACTGAAATAGGAAAATAGGAAAATACTAAAATATTAAAATAGTAAAATAGTAAAATAGTAAAATACTAAAATACTGAAATAGGAAAATACTGAAATAGGAAAATAGGAAAATACTAAAATATTAAAATAGTAAAATAGTAAAATAGTAAAATACTAAAATACTAAAATAGTAAAATACTAAAATACTAAAATAGTAAACTAGTAAATTAATAAAATAGTAAACTAGTAAAATAGTAAAACAACAAAATAGTGAAATAAAACACAGTAAAACAAACCCACAAAAACACCAAAATCCCCTTTCAAAATCAGAAACAAATCAACAATTCAAATCGAATACCAAATATTGATCATACCAGAAGAATTTCATCTGGTTACCCAAGAACTTGCCACGTCCATTACAGATCATTTGCTCCGTTTAAATACACGCCGCGATCGTATATCAGTCTTACATACCACACATATGCAACGCAGCAAAATGATAAAAACCAAAGAAAAGACGAGCGTTCTCTCGTAGCAGTGATATTAGACGCATTTAACGCCGCAATCTACGCGTTTAGAAACGTGTCCGAACAACTTTGACCCACTTTTACGGGAAATTACCTGCATCGTAGGGGGTGGTGGCGGCGTAATGGCTATCACCGGCCTGGCTCTGTAATATTTTTTCATCAGGGCATCGCCAATCTGACGAAAACTAGGCAGAGTTCGCCAACATGTTCTCACGGTGCATGAGCCGGACACGCCGTGACATTTGCATTCCGTTTGCAACAAGGCTTTAACTATCTGCAAAAGAACAATATTCTTGGTAATATACGATTGCCAAACGTGTCGTGCACGCTCTAACGGTTGCAATTATGTAAATTTTATTATACTTCGTTTCTGATAATTCGTTGCTATGTCTTAACTTATTGTTCTTTCTTATTATTTATGTAGGAAGAAATTGTACAATTTCTCTGGAAATGTAATTTACAATTTCTCTGGAAGGAGTTTCGTAGGTTTTAGTATATTACATTCATGTGATTAGATTGTTAAGGTTGGGAAATTTTTAATTTGTTTCATAAATATGAAATAGTGATTGCTTGGATGTGAATTATAGTACTAATTTGATTTCGAGAGATAGGTAACATTTTAGTGGTTGTTTGTTATTGGAAATTTGTTTATTATTTGTTAATATATATTTGAAAATTTAGGTCGTGGGTCTTTGATTTGTAACTTGAGGATGTGGGGATTGGAAATTTGGGGAAGTGGTGATTTGGAGGTGGAGGGATTTGGAGGTGCAAGGATTTGGGGGTATAAGTATGTAGAGGTGTGGGAATTTAGAAATATAGAAATTTGGGGATGTAGGGATTTGGGAGTGTGAGTGTTTATAAATATAGACATTTGGGGGCGTAGAAATTCGAGGGTGAGATTTTGGGGGTGCAAGGATTTGGAGGTGTAGGTATTTGGAAGTGTAGAGATTTGGAAATATGAGGATTTGAAAATGTAGAGATTTGTAGATGTGTGTATTTGGGAATGTAGGAATTTGGGGATGTAGAGATTTTGGGGGTGTAGAGATTGGGGGGTGTAGGTATTTGGAAATGTGAGGATTTGAAAATGTAGAGATTTGTAGATGTGTGTATTTGGGAAAGTAGAGATTTTGGGGGTGTGGAGATTTGAAGGTGTAGAGATTTGGGGGTGCAGGAAATTAGAAATGTAGGAATTTGAAAATGTGAGGATTTGGAAAGATAAGAATTTAGAAATATAGATTTAGAGGTATATTTGTGAATGTATGAATTTGAGAATGCAGAAATTTGGGAGTGAAAAGTTATAGACACATGTGGACATATGTAGACATATAAACATGCATGTATGTGGAAATACAGAAATTCAGTAATATAGAGAAATCATAAATTCGAAAACATAAGAATTTCCAAACTCCCAAATTCACAAACTCAAAAATTACAAAATTGAAACTTAGAAGAACCAATTAAATTTTGAAAACCCAACGAACCCTTAACACATCACATATCCACAACATAAAACAATATGGTATCCCATAAAGTATAGCTTCCGATACTTTAAATCCTTCAAAACCCTTCATAAACGAACCCCATAAAATTTCCACCGGAGAAATTAATTTTCTGGGATTCAAAGGTAACAGAAATTCATGAAGCAATAACAGTTGGCAATCAAAGGAAGAAAGGAAAGAAAGAATGGGTTAGGGTCGTTTGCGAGAAAGGATCGCGTCAGCCGCAGGTAGGAGGCGTCTTAATTGGGAAAAGTTCGTCGAGCTTTCTTCGATGGGCTTTATTATCGGGGCGGCAATAAAAACACGCATATATCGCGAGTACAGACCGGGCTAACGATTTATCCTTAACGTCGATCGCCTCGCCTTGCTGCATACTTTATATCCTGAACGATTTTACTTTTTTATTTTATTTCCAACCCACCTTTGCCCCAACACCAGTCTCTCGCGATAATTCGAAATGTAAACCAGTTTTCTACGGGAGAATTTCTGGATGTGCCATCAAACGAACAAAGAACTTAATTGAAGAATTTATTGATTGAGTTCATAATTTTCTATTGCATAGATTTTTATTTTTATTTTCTTCATTATTGAAGATTCTTAATTTTTCTTGGAGGAATTCATAATTTTCTAGTGCATAGATTTTTATTTTAAGGTTCTTCATTTTTGAAGATTTTTAACTTTTATTTTTATGTTCGTCATTTTTGAAGATTTTTAATTTTTATTTTTAGGTTCTTAATTTTTGAAGACTCTTAATTTTTCTTTATATGTTCTTAAGTTTTGAAGATTCTTAATTTTTACTTTTAGGTTCTTAATTTTTGAAGACTCTTAATTTTTATTTTCAGGTTCTTAATTTTTTTAAATTCTTCATTTTTATTTGTATGTTCTTAAGTTTTGAAGACTTTTAATTTTTATTTTCATGTTCTTAATTTTGGAATGTGCTTAATTTCTATTTATAGGTTCTTAATTTTTGAAGACTTAATTTTTATTTTCAGGTTCTTAATTTTTTTAAATTCTTCATTTTTATTTATATGTTCTTAAGTTTTGAAGATTCTTAATTTTTATTTTTAGGTTCCCAATTCTTGAAGATTTAAAATTTTTAATTTTCATGTTCTTAATTTTGGAATGTACTTAATTTCTATCTATAGGTTCTTAAGTTTTGAAGATTCTTAATTTTTATTTTTAGGTTCTTCATTATTGAAGATTCTAAATTTTTAATATTGCATACTTGTACATTTTTAGATATTTCAGTTCTAACATTTTTAAATATTTATCTTAACTAATTTTCATGTCTTAATTACTTCAAGCTGTCATACTCTTACATTTTCAGTTTATCAAAAGGAAAAAATTCAACACTTTACAATTTTTACCAAATATCAATCAACATTGCGACGTATAATCACGAGAGTCCACTAAAAGGAAGAAATAAAAAAATTCAACCTATGCAAATGACAAAGTATCGCCGTAACACGTAACACGTCGTATCATTAAAAAAGATAAAATCAATAAATCGTCACACTTGCAGTCCGCAATTTCTGCCTTAAAATTTTTCTACAAAATCGAACTCGTTCAAATTCCACGAATGAAAACTGTGTTTAAGCAACGCGTTGCCGTAGCCCGAGTCTTCTATACCTGTGATTACAAAGAGCAATCGATTTGCGATATAATGTAGGAAAATCGGTGGGTATCGATCGAGCCATGCTATTGATTGATCGAACGGTTAGTGTGAAATTTACGGAGACAAAGAAATCATATACGGTTAAGTGCCATTTTCTACCTGACCTCTTAAGAATTTGCATAGTTTACCGAGCTGGGGGGGTTCGATTCAATGTAATTTATTTCTTGGAAGAAATTATACAGTGCGTGGTGTAAATTTACTGCTATTTATGGCGAGGATCCTTGAATATTGACGTAATAAATAGTAATTAATATTTGCCTTCGAACGACAATGCATGTTATAAAATTCAACGTTACATTTTTCTGATAACTCTTTGAAATTTTTCAAAAATTATGTTTGTCAAAATTGTACAAAATTTAGAAAGTTAATTGGAAAATTTATTGTGAAATTTGCTTAGAAAAAATTATTTTCTGAAATTATTTAGGGAAATTATTTTCTGAAATTATTCAGAGAAATTATTTTCTGAAATTATTTAGGAAAATTATTTTCTAGAATTACTTAGAAAAATTGTTTTCTGAATTATTGAGAGAAAATCATTTTCTGAAATTATTTAGAAAAATTATTCTCTGGAATTACTTAGAAAAATTGTTTTCTGAAATTATTCAGAGAAAATTATTTTCTGAAATTATTTAGAAAAATTATTTTCTGGAATTACTTAGAAAAATTGTTTTCTGAATTATTCAGAGAAAATTATTTTCTGAAATTATTTAGAAAAAGTATTTTCTGGAATTACTTAGAAAAATTGTTTCCTGAAATTATTTTCTAATATATTAGCTAGAAAATTAATAAATTAAGAGACAATTTAATTATTGCATTATCTTCAACAACATAAATAATTAAATTAGTGTAACATTAGCAGGCCAATTAAATTTAATTTTGTTTAGTATAGAATAGATATAAATAGTGAACTACATTGATAGAATTGTTCAAAATATTTTAAAGAGAACAGCAACAGGTCCAGTCATTTTTACCCCATAAATTAGTGTAACTTTAATAACTTAATTGTTAAATTAGCTTCAACAATGTAATTGTCAAATCATCTTCAACAACTAATTGCTAAATTACCTTCAATAACCTAATTTATTAAATTAGTGTAACTTTAACAGGTCAATTAAATTTTATTTATTCAGTGAATTGACATAAATTGAACTATTCAAACTATTTCAAAAGAGACAGCAATATCTTAAGTAATTCATAGCATACTAGGGTAAGTTTAACAGGTAATTTATAATGACACCAAGCGTTTAAATAATTCAGTTTCGTGCGAAGAAACGCGTGGGTCATTGTAGGTCTTAATAAAAGCTCGTGTTACCTTTCGTCCTGCCTTGTTATTATGGAGGTTCATCAGGCTCCTTGCGTCACCCTCCACCTCCCTCGCGTCCAGAAACCTACGCGCGAACCTAACATTAAATTATAATATTAAAATCCATACGCGTCTAACAACTGCCGTGACGTACAGTTACCTCAATGGAGGCTTTACACGCACGTGCCACGCGTAAAAAGGAAACGAAACACGAATTCATTATGGATTGCGTTAATGATCTCACCTCATACCATAGGTAACATCTGCGCTGCAACCACCCCATTCCCAGCCATTCGGTGGCAATTCCTTTCTCGTTCTGCAACAAAAGCATTTCTTGTTAACGAGGGAAAGGTAAAGTGGATGGTTCACGATTCTTATTTCGAATTTTGCATTTTTATTTGTTTTTTTGATATTTTTTCGGGTGTTTTCTTGTTTTGTAATTTTTAAGTTTAGTGGTTTTTATATTTATGTAGCGTTAAAGTTTTAATTTAGGAAAGTTTTGAAATTTTAAAATATCAAGGGGGATTTTTCAAATTTGGAAGTTTAGAAAATATCAAATTTTGAAAGTTTCAAATTCCCCAGTTTTGACATTTACAAATTTTCTAATTTCCTAGTTTTGATATTTCTAAATTTTCAAATTCCCTAGTTTCGACATTTCCAAATTTTCAAATTCCTTAGTCTCGATATTTCTTAATTTTCAAATTCTCTAGTTTTGACATTTACAAATTTTCAAATTCCCTAGTTTCGATATTCCTAAATTATTAAACTCCCTAGATTCAACATTTACAAATTATTAAATTCCCTAGATTCAACATTTACAAATTTCCAAATTCCCTAGTTCCAACATTTCTAAAGTTTAAAATTCCCTAATTTCGACATTTTCAAATTTTTGTATTTTTTTGCTTCTAAAATGTCGAAGTTTCTCATTTTTCCAAATTTCTATAGTTCCAAAGTCCAAAATTCTTAATTTCTCAAATTTCCTAGATTCGAAATTTTCAAATCAGACTTCAAAATTTCAAATTTCTAATTTTGATCAAATTTCTAAATTTAGTAATTTTGTAGTTTGGTCTATTTTGAATCTATAAATTTTCTAATTTTGAAAATTTCTGAAATTGCGAATTCTCACATTCCGCATTTCCAAATTTTCGAATTTCAAAAAATCAATCTCTGAGATTTTCAAATTTTCAGGCGGCAAAAAATCCACATTGTGTAACATAAAAATTCTCAAATACCAAATTTCCTACATTTCAAATTTTCAAGAGTTCAATTTTGCAAGCTCTTACTTTTTCAAATCTCAAATCACTGAATGTTAAATCCTAATTAAATCCGAATGCTAAATACTCAATACCCAAAATCTAGTTTCTAAATTTCCTAGTTCATTTTCTTCCAAATTACTACATTTTTGATTTATTATTATTTACTATTATTCTACAGTATCTAAATTCGCAAATTAAATTCCTCAAAGACTTCGAGTATCCCCATAAACTATTACACATAAAACTTAAATGATCGATTACCATCATAATATCCTTCCTTAAATATTCATAGTGCGTGTATTTTAATAACATTTTATATACAGCAATATTTCAAAGCGTGGCTTGATTACTTATTAAGAAAATTATTTCCATCAACGCTTTTTGTGTAACTTCCCCACTATAATTTCAAAGAAACATTTTGTATCCCATATATTGCAATTTCAATGAAATTTTTCACAGTTTAAACAGTGTAATTTAAATAGCATTTTTCACAGTCTAAATACTGTAATTTCACATTTTTATGCTTCTTCTTATATAACATTGATTTTGTGGAAATCGTGTATCGCGGTTAAGAAAAACACCGGCATGCACACAATTTCCTTGCTCTAAATGAACTCATCCAGCAAAAAGTCAATCTCCATCGAGATTCCATTTAAGTTTGGTTTTATCACACAAATTAACGTGGAATCTCGACTACGCTGCTGCTTCTGCGTTTCTGCTACTTTTTCTTATTCTCCGCCATTTTTCTCTCATTTATCTGCATTCTGCTGACTCCGCTTCAGTGATTTAAATTTTACTTTGGAACGTCGTTATAAATCTTACAGAACTCTAAATACATTTATATTCTTTTTGTTGAATAATTTAACTTAATTACAGGAAAGTAATAGTTTCCTTTATCATGCGAATAGACATTTTTTTAACTTTTCTTGTCAGGAATCAGTTGACTTTTGTTACGTAAATCTTTTTTAGTTTATTATGCATTTGTTTTGATCGAGTGATTGATTAGATAATTTGTTATATGGTATATCAGTTGATACATTAATTATATATTATTCAATATATTTATTAAGTAGTTATTGTACATTAATCTATTGATACAATCACTATACAGGGTGTTACCTGTAACGCTATTCACGATTTTTCTCCCACTTGCTACTTTACGAAAAAAAGTTTAGAACAATGTTTGCAGGATATAAAGTGCACATTTTCGCGAGACGTGTTAATCGGCCGTTTAATTCGAAAGCACGTACTGGTACGTGTACGGATTATATCGAACGCATAATGTGAGCGTTTTAAGAGCCGGGAAATATCTCGAGCGCGTATATTGCCGCAGTTAGCTCGAACATGCTGAGCGGCCCCGTTAATTTCACTAATTAAGTTAGCGACCGACCGCCCCTTCGTCTTATAAGCGTCATTTATACCTTTTTCCCTTTTTTCCTTCTCTTTGCAAGCATCAATTTCTTGCCTTCTTGTTTCCGACGACTTCCTTCGATGCTGTTATTTTCTTGCCTTCGGAAATCTCGTTAGTAATAGTTTCCTTTATCATGGGAATAGACATTTTTTTAACTTTTCTTGCCAAGAATCAGTTGACTTTTGTTACGTAAATCTTTTTTAGTTTATTATGCATTTGTTTTGATCGAGTGATTGATTAGATAATTTATTATGTGGTATATCAGTTGATACATTAGTTATATATTAGTCAATATATTTATTAAGTAGTTATTGTACATTAATCTATTGGTACAATCACTATACAGGGTGTTGCCTGTGACGCTACTCACGATTTTTCTCCCACTTGCCACCTTATGAAAAAAAGTTTAGAACAATGTTTGCAGGATATGAAGTGCATAATATTAGTAAAGCAAATTTTGAAAATAGTTTGTTCTCTTGGCAAAGTCGTCACATGGGTTTTTTAAATAGGAACATTTTATTCATAACTTTAGAGGACATCGAGACGAATTCAAAACATGTATTACATGATATTTTTATTAACATATTACTCGATTTTTCTGTGGAATTATCAAATGTTCATGTTTCTGTAAAATAAGTGATATGTTTTAATGAACTCCTTAAGGAGCAAAATGATATACAGATGAATACTGTATTTGAAAGTTAACATAACTGTATATTTACCCGAGACAGACAGAATTCATACGTCGTTGAAGACTTATGCTGAATGATGTGGGAAATGTGACGTTACAGGTAACATCCTGTGTATTAGTCAATTGATACATTGATTATTTTCTGTATCAATCAATTGATATATTAGTTGTATATTAATCAGTACCTCAAATAATTATATATTGATAAATTGATACATAAGTTGACGATTTTAAAGAATTAATTTCGTTCAGAAAGAAGAATGTATATCAAATCTTCTTAAGCTTCATCCTCAAAGTCATATTCATCGACTTAGTAATAATTAATCAAATTACCAAGTAGTTCTTCAAGTAACTAATTACCAGGTAATTATTACAGTCATATTCATCAACCACCGACTTAGTAATAATTTATCAAATTACCAAGTACTTTTTCAAATAAATAATTACCGAGTAATTATTACAGTCATATTCATCAATCACCGACTTAGTAATAATTTATCAAATTACCAAGTACTTTTTCAAATAAATAATTACGAAGTACTTACGCTAGAAAAAATATAAAATAATCTTCCATAACGTCAACACTAAGTGGAATTTAACTAGTAACAATAAAATACGAAAGCACAAGGTTATCTCACCTTATGGTGGGTTCGCAACCGCAAGCTGTGATGTTGCCCCTGCTGCAAGCTGCGGTCACGGCGTACGTTACACCCGCTGAACTTATTGCGTACGTGAAAGCTGCTTCCCTGCTTCCTGAAATAGATCAGTGAGAAATTTCCTGTTAGTTCTACCATCGGAGCAGGTCTGTCCAGTTCGTGTGGTAGGTAGGGAACTTGTATAGGGATTTCAGGCTATGGGAAACGAGATGCAACCGTGCGACAAACAGGGTTATGATATATCTACATATCTATACCATTGTTGCAAACAAAAGGACCTTCGTCAAAAAGGATCTGCCAATATTTTAACGTTCACCTGGACTCTTTTACTTCTTCGATCTTTTCTTCCTGGTAGGGTATACGCGAATTTAATATTTTAATATTTTTGCTCTTGAAAGGTGTGGTTTGATGAATTTGGTTTAATACTATTTGAAGTAAGTGATGTTTAACTAAATTTTTAGTATACGTGTGAGGAACATGATAAAACTGTAGTAGTTTATTTAAATTAATTTTAGAATTGATTTTGGAGAAATAATAAGTTTAGAAGGGTCTGACGTTGTCAGATGACAACAGCAAAAGTGCCTTTGAGTGCAGAGGGTTAATACTAGAACTGCTGACCATATAGTTTCGAGTGTTACGTTTTTATTTATATTTTGTTACTGTGATTTAGAAATTTAGTCATTTAAAAATTTTGCAAAGTGAATTTGTGGATTTATAAATTTATTAATTTGAAGAATTTGTAAATTTAGTAATTGAAGGATTTGAAAATTTGTAAGAGAACTTGTGAACTTAGAAATTTATAAATTTGATAATGTGCAAAATGGATTTGTAAAATTGCCCATTTAGACATACTGTAATTCATAAATTTAAGAATTCAAGAATTTATAGATTTGTGAATTCATAATTGAAAAACTTCAGAATTCAAATTTTCCAAAATTGAACATATAAAAATTTGTGAACTTGCAAATTGTCAAATTCTCATATAATCTTCACCCACACCTCAAGCAAGCCTCTACGCCATATTAAAAACTCCAGAAACAACAAGATGGTCACCGAAACCTAACCTAACTTAAAAGTTAACCTAATCTTACAACTGTGGGCTCAAATATTTTCTCAGATACATCAAACCCTTTTAAAAGCTCCAAAACCTAGCCTAACCTCAATCTGACCTATCCATTTTCCTTTATCTCGCCATTTTCCATAAAAATCCCTCTTGAAATCCATCACCGTCATTCTGAAAATTTTGAAAATTTCAAAATTGAACACATACAAATTTGTGAACTCGCAAATTGTCAAATTCTCATATAACCTTCCCTCACATCTGAAGCAAGCCTCTAATATTAAAAACCCCAGAAGCCACAAGATGGCCACCAAAACGTAACCTAATCTTAAAATTATACTCAAATATTCTCCCAAGTACATCAAACCCTCCTGAAAGCTTCAAAACCTAACCTAACCTCTATCTAATCTATTCTCTTTCCCCAGCTTCCTTTATCCCGCCATTTTCCATAAAAATCCCCTTCACACGTCTCGAAATCCATCTCCGTCATTGTGACGTGTATTAAACTCGATAGAAGTTCGCTGGAGGCACATTTTAATCCTCGCCACGCGATCCGATCTACTTCATTTCGTCGACAAGCATGATACATCAAGCGTGCAAACCCACACTGTCCCCTAGCGTTTCCGTCACGCTAATTTACAGCTATCCGACACACGTACGGCGGCGTAAAGCGCGACCACAATTAATTACCCGCGGTGCTCTTTCAGCTCGTTTGCCATGCTGAATGAGTTACCGTCGCGTTCCTTTATTCTCGATTCCTTCTTTTTTTTTCTTCCGTTGCTTTCTTCCATCGTGGTTGCAGCACGCTCGACGTTTCAAACACCTACGCGATACTGTCCCGCATTCGAGTTGATTCGCGTTCGGCCTGGCAGCAGCCATCAACCTCGGCCAACTTTAATTCGAACGTCAGGATATCGCCTGTTATACACCGACGCCTAATTATCGAGTGTAATAAAACTCGAAGAGCCATAAGCCGGCCCGGAGGCATGCTTACACGCTTTGACAGCGTAATTTTCACGGCCGATCGAATCTTATCGTTGCACTCGATCTTGCTTCATTGGCGTAAAGGGCTTGGCTTTTCATAGATACCGGTTTGTTAGGACCTTGGTAATTTTGATATTTTTCGGGTCTCAAATTGTGGAATTTTATTTTATTGGATTATGTGTGTTGTTGTTGGACTGGGAAGTTTTTGACTTTTCAGATTTACAATTGTTAATAGTCTGAATTTATAAGTTTGTAGATATAGGATTATATCTTGTTTATAAATTTTCAGATCCTCGAGATTTTTAGTTTGTGAGTTGTGAAATTTTAACAGGTCAAGTTTCTGTGTTTATGATTTTCTAATTTGGATATTTGTACATTTTAAAATATTCAAATTTTCAGTTTTACAATTTTTCCATTTTTCCTTGTTTCAATTCTTCAAGTTTTCAATTCTATAATTTTTCACTTTTACAATTTCTCAATTTTTCCATTTCTCAATTCTTCAAGTTTTCAATTCTACAGTATTTCAATTCTTCCATTTTTCAATTTTTCAACTCTTCAATTCTTCCATTTTTCCATTCTTCAATTCTTTAATTTTTCAATTTCTCAAATTACTATATTTTTAAATCCTCAAATTTACAAATATTATACTTCAAGTTGTCTTATATCTAAATTCTTAAACGTTCGCAATACTTCAGTTTCAAAATGCTTAATTTTCCAAATTCTCCAATTGTCAGATACTTAATTGGTAGAACTTCTTAATTTTCAGATGCTCAATTTTCCAAATTTTTCAATTTTCAGATTTAAATTTTTCAATTTCTCAATTTTTCAATTTTCAAATCTAAATTTTTTAAATACTGAATTTCTCTATTTATCAATTTTCCAATTTTCAAACTAAAATTTTTAAATCCTTAATGTCTTAATTTCTCAATTTTCCAATTTTCAAACTAAAATTTTCAAATCCTTAATGTCTCAATTTTTCAATTTTTCAATTTTCAAATCTAAAATTTTCAAATCCTTAATGTCTCAATTTCCCGATTTTCCAATTTCCAAATTAACATTTTCAAATCCTTAATGTCTCAATTTCTCAATTTTCCAATTTTCAAACTAAAATTTTCAAATCCTTAATGTCTCAATTTCCCGATTTTCCAATTTTCAAACTAAAATTTTCAAATCCTTAATGTCTCAATTTCTCAATTTTTCAATTTTCAAATCTAAAATTTTTAAATACTGAATGTCTCAATTTCTCAATTTTCCAATTTCCAAACTAAAATTTTCAAATCCCTAATGTCTCAATTTCTCAATTTTCCAATTTGCAAAGTAAAATTTTCAATTCCTTCATTTCTCAATTTCCAAATTTCCTAATTAAAAAATTTCCAAGCATAAAAGTCACAGTCCTAAAATTCTCAAGTTCCCAAGTTCATAAACTTCCAAAGAAGCCTTGATTTCACCCGAAACGTTTTGACAATATTAATAAAAATCCTTGTTACGCCAATGCTCTCTCCTCGATCTCGCCTGTTGCCACATATCTCGCGATCCTTACCTGTTCTCGGTGGGTGTTTTTTCCGATCAATCGATTACGAGCTCGTGGAAATTGATAATTCCACGGTTATGCGTGGAATGCGTGCTCTGAATAGCGATAAAACGACGTCTATGGTGATTTGATTCGAGCGAGTAGGATTAGTTCTGGTGATTTTAACGAGTGGTTAAGAGCTGCTTAAGTGGAGCGATGGATAAGAAACGCTTGAAAAATGTGATAAGTATCTTAATGACTTCATAGTTATTCATTTCTTGTTACGTTAATTAACTGATTATTGAAACTTGTATTCATTGTATGTATCTTTTATCTTGATATGAAAATTCTTGTGTATTTATATCTGTGAGTGATTATGTATTTAATATTATGAAAATGGTGCTGCTGTTATTTATACGAAAACTTCTGTTTCTTATTTTGTGACAAAGTTGTGATTTTCATAAATAAAGTATGATTTCTTTTGCGTTTAATTATAGTGTCTAATTAATTATGTAGGGTGACTCATTGTACTTTATAAATGATATTAATACCTCAAGTTATTTGTTATTTCAAGTAATGTTAATAATCTAGAATTGTTGGTTATTTACCAACTTACAATTGTTAGTAATTTTAGTAGCTTCAAATAAGATTGTTATTAGCAACAATATTAATAACATTAAATTAATTGTTATTTGAAATAGTTTTTGATATAAAATTTGTTGTGTATGAAATATTCTGAAGAATTGATGTGTAATAAACATGCAACTGCATATTCATATGTCACATATGTAAAAGCATATGCACATGTATGTGTATTTTTATTTTTATGTGCACATATTTATCTCTGTTCATTCATGCATTTATATTCTTTCTTATCTACAAAATATTTCAATTTTCAAATTTTACATATATCAAGAATTATTGATTCATTTTACATCACATGTTAATCCTTTTTTTATGTAGATTACTCCATATGTAACAAAATCGACATATGTAGAAAACAAAAGTGATTCTACTGTAAAAAATAAAGATTAGAAATTTCGAAAATATTTTTACTAATAATAACATAATATTATTAAAATATTTTACTAATAATTTAAAAGAAAAATATTTCACTAATAAATTTAATAATATTGTAGATAAAATTTATTTTCCTCTGCTTCTTGAAATAAATTAAGCTTTGAATTAACTATATTTAAATATGAAAATATATTTTTATTGAAATAAATGTGTTATGTAAAACCATACATGCTAGAGTAGTTACAGAATTACATACAAATCAAGTTTATTAATAATTCCCAAAGAAATCGATATTATTACTACAGATTCGTATCTCGCTGCGTGCAACAAATCGATTCGCAGGCAAACGTGTAATCGTCGTTTACGTTTAAATCATCAACGAGTACGACGCAATATTCAACACTGCGCTTCATTGCAGCGAGGCAATAAAATCGATCGTAAAACCAACTCATTCGAGAAATGAAATTTCGAAACAGAAATGTGTGCCTTGCACAGAAACGATGTCCTCTTTATTTCTTTGCCT